TCTAATTGAAAGTAGCAAGGGTGCAGTAGAAGGGGAACGACGAACATCCACAGCTTTTTCGAAAAATTCCTATATTTTCGGCAATTTTGCGGCATTTTATTATTTGCAATTTTTTTTCTTCCAAATGGTAAAATTCGTCTATACATTAAAAATCGTATTAATTGACATAAGTGACAATATGGTTAAAATTCGTAATAAAACTTCTGGATTCGACCTCCGATTTTATTTTATTCCTAAGCTTGTTGTACTCTCCTGTGTTGTTATAGTAGTGTACCGTTCACAAAATGACTTGTGCTATTTACCATTCAATTTTCAAATCTATTTAGCTGAGGACACAAAATACTGAAGTTAACACTCAAAGTAAGAGCCCCCTTACACTTTATTTGCGTCGTTGTATTAAATTTCTTAAATCGATTTATAGCTAGAGACTTACGACTTTTAAGAAAAAATAAAGTACAAAAATAATCATACGTATGGTAAAGTTACTTGCAAATTTAAAAACAAATTCAAATAATAAAACTTTTTAGAATATCAAGCCTGCTAATGAGCCTATCATAATATAAGAGGGAAACACAGAAATGTTTCATTATTTCGTTCTTGTTTTAGAATCTTATTATTTGCACTCAGTTCACCACTACCTTTTTCTATTCAATATAACGACGTAAAATTCAAAAAAAAAAAAAAAAATTTAATATAAATTATAACTTGGAGAATTTTAAACCAAATGCAGTTAGAAGTTTTTATAACTTTTCTATATGTAATTTTTCGAAAAATATATAAATAAATATATGTTAAATTTTGGAATTTTTATCTTCCCCCCAATTGTGAAAAATTTTACCCAACAACACTGGTTACATAGCACAGACGTTTACTATGTAAAATTATGCTAACTAATAATAATAATAATGAAACTCTACTTCAGGGCAAAATTACATAGTAGGAAATAAACGCGTTGGGATGTGATTGCATTTGAACTGTATAAAATAGAGTTTAATCGGTTGTATAGTATCAAATTTAACCATTAACGGACAAATTGGAAGTAAACTTGAAATACTTTCAGACTGGTAAGGGTTAAACAGTATCATAATCTCTAAGTGACGAAATGATATAAATATCTAGGGGCAAAGGATAATCATGGGGAAAAAAAGCTTCAGAAAAAAAAAGCCCAGAAAAAGAGCGTCGGGAAAAAGCACAGGAAAAAAGCACGTGATAAAAAGCACTGAAAAAAAAAAGATCTAATTATCTATAATATAAATTTAAAGTCCGATTTTATTCGAGCCATTGAACCCAAATTTAATGTACTATTTAAATAGTCATGCGAACATAATTAGTATAGATTTTTTTAAATTACAAAGTTAAATTCGAAGTTCAGGGAAAGGAATTTTAAATACTTTATGTATTTTTAATTTATTGTTGTTAATTTACGTCGCACTAGAGCTGCACAATGGGCTATTGGCGACGGTCTGGGAAACATCCCGGAGGATGATCCGAAGACATGCCATCACAATTTTGATCCTCTGCGGAGGGGATGGCACCTCCGCTTCGGTAGCCCGACGACCTGCGCGCGAAGTCGAGCACTTTACGGTAGCACAGTTTAACGAGGACCAATACCGCACACCCTCGGTCCCTACGCAGACTGATCCAAGTGGTCACCCACCCGCACACTGACCGTAGCCAGTGATGCTTGACTTCGGTGATTTGTTGGGAACCGTGTCTTAACGATCAGTCCACTGCGGGACATATTTTTAATTTAATTATATAATATATAGCATTACTATTATAAATAATGCACCAATTAACAATAGTTTCTCAGAGGCTTGATCTTTTGATAGGTCAAAAATTTTAATAAAAATGATAAAGTATTTAAATCTGATTCAATTTTTATCTAGTTGAAAAAAGTATTATTTGCATATTTTACCATATCACAGCTTAATAAGTGTAATTATTGTAATTTGGAACTATTTTAGAACTGCTTAAAAGGTTTAATCAGTTTGTACGTAGTATAAAGTGGAAAATGTAACTTCACGTTAATTTTAAATTAATTTTATATCGTATTTCATTCGAGTAAATAAATACATTATTACATTTATTTCTGGCTCAACGGCTCAAATTGTGTCGATTGTTATAGTTACTAATGAGCGTGGCTTTTTTTTGTGCTCTTTTTGCCGGTGCTTTTTTTCCTCCGGCTTTTTGGCGCTTTTCTATCCGGTGATCTTTTTCCTTCCTATCAAGGGAGGAGGAACGATTATTGCTGCAAAGTGCGGAAAAATGAAACCCTTTCTGAATAACTTTTGATCGAAATATTAGATTTTCACATTCTAGGACTCAATCTTAATGGTTTTGGAGTAACCTTAAATACGCTAATTATTTAGTGTAAACGATATTTTATGTTACGAAATTACACATACAAATATACTTTCGCTGTCTATTTTTCGAAGGATCTGGATATTTGACCTTCAAAATATGCGCGTAAACCGCGATCTGAAAATTCAAGTTTCAATAGTTGACATAAAAAAAAAACTCATCTAGAATTTGGACCTTTACAATTAGTTTTCTTTTATGCATCTTTCACCATATCTCTGGAAATGAGAAAGTGAATCAAAACGTTTTTGCATACGAAAATAAAATTTGTTTATCCGAAGATACACACGATATACACGCTAAAAAATTATGTACTATAGTTACTCGTATTTAGAATTATTTAATCTAATGTAATCGAAATTTTTTTGGAACATAGTAAAGTGTACAATTTTTTGCCTCAATTTAATCTACGTAATTTTGAAAAGAATCTGTTGAATATTTCTTGAGAAATTAATATTTCAAAATGCGACTTTCTTGAAATGGCAAAAGTGTTTTTAAATGACAAATACATACCTGTCAACTTTCACTCTTTCCGAAAATGGATTTTCAGAGTGGTTGTAAAACAATAAACGAAAAACAATCTGATTCCAAAATATATTTATATTTTGATCCCGTTGAAAAGCGCTTGCTCAAGGATTATTATGCTTTCATATATTTATTGTAATTATTTATATGTAGTGGTGGTTAAACTGATTTATAATTATCATTATAATTCAAAAAGTTAATTGGAATAACCTGAGTATTGCTACCACTTTAAATATGAAAATAAAATCTTCCGGAAAATCCGGAAGAGTTGGCAGGTATGCAAATAGGGGACTAGACTTAAGACCGCTCTCTTACTTAATTACCCATATTTCCTGCTTAACCATATATCCTTCTTGCTTTGAGGGTCCAAGAATCCGAATCCGTCGTAAGAAAATCGTGTTTATTCAGATAAAGTACAGTCATAACCTCTATGAGTAATAAACGCTCGAACCTGTCGGATTGGTTCCTGTACGTGAAAATTCGATCATTAGATTAAAAGTTATTTAGGGCATTCACTTTTCTTTGTTTTGCGCTCTGTTTCATTGCTCAAGTTGTAATTGACCAAATATCTGAGTCCTTCTCACTATTGAAGTCCTTCTCATTTTGTTAGACCTTTTCAGTTAGTCTCAGAATCAAAATTATGTGATGCATGGTTAAAATGTTTTATTGATTGACAGTGATTCGTTCTATTGTTCAAGTGTTATCACATATAGATAACAATGACCAGTCAAAATAGTCATTCAGACAATGGTAAGGTAAAACTTGCTGAGTTATATTCATGGAGGCTGATTTTTGGTTTATATTTCCAACGAATAATTTCTCGCCTGAGAAATAGTCTGGAAAAAGATTGCATACACTCTTTTAGAATCAGTTAACAGGCTTTATTTTCACCAAGTCATAATAAAAAAAGAAATTTCCTAATAAGAATTAGTACTTTAACTATGTGTTATTTAACAGCATATTTAGTTTAAAAAAGACTCCATCTCGTGCCATAATAACATTAATTGTGGTTATTAATAGTAACTAATGTTATTATTATTATTAATAATAATTTTTCGCAACTGTAATGATTGATGAAAATATTTATTCAGAATTTTAAAACTTAGTCAAATTAGTCAATTTGATATTTCTCATGGGGAAGAATTTTTATCAAAATAAAAGGAGTATATTATAGCACACCCTACTTTTTTCTTTCAAGATTAAAATTTTTAAAAGATATATACTTTATAGCATCAGTTTCTAAAATTGGGTCGCGGGGTCATCTAAGTTAAGTCACCAAAGAAATGTCTTGGGACTTAAAATTAAATTATTATAATTTTCTTTATTTAGTTTTTCAAATTTAATTTTAAAAAAAATCCTTGTACATTTTTACGTTATTTGTATGCTAAAAATGTGAGATGTGGATTGAGTTTATGAATCCTGTTATTATTCAGTTACTCAATCTTTCTATTATGGATTAATCAAATTTACGCGTATTTTATAAATTAATTCTCCGATTGAAGTACTGAATTATTTATTTATTTCTTATTTTTTCACACTTTGAAAATCAAAATTTCAGTTATTTTTTGCATGATGAATATTAAAAATAAATCTTGGCTGTTGATTTTAAATTGCGATTAAAAAATAAATAAAACGGATCTAAAGATTCCATGACCTAAGGCGATTCGAATGTAAGCACATTATTCCACATTAATTCAAAGAGGCGGGGGAAAAAAATCTTCGAATTTAATTTCCTCCAGACATCAATTTTTCTCAAATTTTTTTTTTAGGAAACCATAAGTGGATAGGGTCATATCTTCAACTGACCTTGAAGTTTAACTTTTCCCACTCTTTGACATGCCATTTGACTTGGGGAGTTCTGAGTTTCAGCGATTTTCTTTTCCCCGGAGAAGGATTACATCAGAGAACACGCCCGTATTTATCTACCAAGTTGATTTGAGCATCGCGTGTCCTTTCTCACTTTTTCCATTGAAAATAAAAACAGAAAAGAAAAAAATCGAGTGTAAAGAGAGAAGGAAAAAAGAAAAGGAAAAGAAAAAAAACTGAAGTCAAATGGTTCTCTGAAAGCGATTTGACAACTCGTCCACAGGGAACAAAATGCGTAAGAAAATGTTATTGGGGTGTAGGGGTAGGTCAGCTCACAGATGGCTTGCTATCGGCGTCTTGAGTTGCCTTCATTAAAAAGAAGGAAGATTTCCAAGTTTATTACTTTTTTTTTCTCTCTCTCTGCTAGACAGTGGTCGGGTTGTTGGTGGGTCGCACAATAGGGGTGGGTGCGGCCGAGTCGAACCCCACCCAACCTTTCGGACGACCCTGTCGCAGTCACACATGTGGGATGTTGAAGTTCGTTCATAGAAGCAATTGGCCGGTCTCCTTCCACTACAAAATTATTTTTCATTTAGGTATGTTTCTTTAGTTTTCTTTAGAAATCGGATTTACAAAGATCGAATAAATTTATGGAATGACATTTTTTATTTTTAAAGAACTGGGCTGTAAAAAACAGAGTCAACGGACGGAACGGAATAAAATATAGTTTAATTTTATTGATCTCTTATATTTTATCGTGTTTTTATTTATTATGATGATTTTTAATATAAATTTCTGAAACAACTGTTGTTTTTACCACTTGGAAAACATATTTTATTAAATTAAATTGAGTTATAATTGTGTATAAATCGAATATATAAATCAAAGTACAAAGGCGAAACATATAAAAACACAAAACAAGTGTTGATGTTTATATGTGTTAATTTTTCTATCTTGGATTCTAATTTTATTAACGTGTACTGCTATTTTGGACATTTCTGAAGCTTAGGGGAATTTAAGTACTTTGTTTTCAGTACTTTTTTCATTCGATATTTTTTTTTCCTTGCATAATTATTATTTTTAAAGTTTGTCTTCGTTTACTCCGTTAACTTACTCATTTGTTCTTTTTTTTTTAATTTGTAGAAATTGTTTTTTTTTTCCTATTTTAAGACATAAAGACAATTTTTAGATAAAAATTTTTTTCGTCGAATGTAATTAATTATTATTATTATATACGAATATATAATATTAATATATAATATTAATGTATAATATTAATGTATAATATTAATGTATAATATTAATATATAATATTAATATATAATATCCATATTAATATTGCCCTGCGTTGTTTTTACTTGATACAAGAAAGAGGTAGTTTTTGGAACTTTAAAACAGTAAAAATAAAGAATAGGTCTACTTCTTTTTTATTGAAAGTCCTATAATAATTATTATAATACTTTAATAAATCTCCTCTAAGCTTAGTAGTCCTTTCGTATTCGGACAAATTTGCACTCCTGCATTAATCACATGCTTTTTCATTTTAAAAATAAACAGTTAAAAATTAAAATAATAAATATCAGTATAACAGAAAAACTGTTAATTTCTTCTATGTCGAAAGTTGGTTTAAAAGTACAAACTTATAAATCATGAGAAATGCCATGACAGATTAAAAGGAGACGATAGATTTTAAGTAAAATAGAAATGTGCTTTTAAAAAAATTTAAGTAGTTTTGTGAGTAGTTGTGGTCTCTGGTCTGAGTACTATTGTCTAATATTGTGGGTCTGAGGATTATAATTTTTGAGGCACTTAGGAATCCGAAATGGGTTACGGAAATTAAAAAACTGAAAAAACTACCGGAGTATATTAGTGTATTTATTCTACAAAGTAATAAAATTTTTACATTTAAAGCAGTTTTAATTTATTGCTGAACTTGGAGGTCCTACTGTATTTGCTCGGCGCGCATGCCTTTCGGATGGCTCCGCAAATTCGAGCTCGCTTCGCTCTCTCATTGGATACTTTTGTGTTTCAATCTTTGTGTTTATGCTGGTACAATTTTTTGAAATTAAGTTTTAAAAATAGTGAAATGTGCGTCGTGCAAAACCTTTGATTCAAAAACTATTTTTTCCAATTTAATTATTTTATTCTTTGCAATTTGATTTCTGTACATTTCAATGTTGCTTCGAAATTACATTCGGAACAAACAATCCGCAAAATTTCCCCATTAAATACTATTACAAATTCCAGAGTTTGAAAATACATTTTTTAAGTTCTTTATTTTGATTAACTCGTAAAATTTATAAAAATCAAAGAAGGAAATTAGAAAATGAAAAAAAAAAAAAAAGTACAGTAACTAAGTAAATTAAAAAAAGAAGGTAGTATCGCAAGACTAAACTTTAATAAGCATAATTAAAACAGAGCAGTTTGTTTCTTTAGATAAGCTGTTTGCTTTTAATCTTTAATTTCTGACCTATTTATAATTTATAGCTTATAAAGCTTCATATAAGCTTTTTGTTTCCAATGCGAGAAAAGAAATCTCCTCGGTTTTGTGAGAATCTACACATTAGTGTTATTAAAATCTATGAAATAAATGGAACAAGGCAGGCAAAACCATCTTATTATTTTTTAATTTTAATATATTCACAATATATTCATACAATTCCTTCATATAATGTATTCATACATTTTACAATGCAGTGTGTTCTGTAGTGACCCTTAATATCGGAATGCTTTGCGCCTTTCCACTGTTTTATTTTTGAATGCAGCCTACGTATTTCTTTTCTTTCTTTTTTTTTTTTTGAGATGGAGTCTTGCTCNTTTTTTTTTTTTTTTTTTTGGAGGGGGGAGGGAATTTGGGAATCATTCATGTGGCCCATTATGATCAATGATGTACGAAGTCAACGGCCCAAAACTAAAATCCATTGAAAAAGTTTTATGTTGTACTAGGTGATAGTTTCTTGTGAGTCTTATTATTTTTTAAAATTTTATTTTATGAATTTTAAATTTTATGAATTCAAAGAGAAAATATTTTCCATCAAAAAAAATTTATTATATTATAAAATTTAAGCTGGATTTCTTAAAAAATGCAATAAAGTTTGTAAGCTCTAAAAAATTTAATTTCTGTACTGCTACTGGGGGTTGATAAGCAAGGGATTTGAAAGTAAGTCAAATACATATTTTTTCATCTTATAAGCATTTTCGAGAGGCTCAGTTATATTCTCTTCTTATTCTAATAACGTTTTATTTTTTACTTTATATTTTTTTAAAGCAAAATTCAAAATGTAATCCTTTTTCTAAAATCTTCCTTTTTTATCAAAGAGCACTTTACGTAACATAATTTATGTAAATAAAATCAGCAAATCCAATAAATAATTTTCTTAACCGCTTGATTTGTTATTCCTAAGGAAGAATCGAGAAATTAACATTCGTGCACTACTTCGAATATTTATGAACATTTTGAGTAGAGTTGATTGTAAAAGACATCTAAGTGTGAGGTCTTTCTTAAGAGGAAGTGACGTATCTTTGGGCATTTAATAGTCTTTTTGAGATTGGACTTCTACATATTTCTTAAAGATTCTCTTCTATTGCTTTTTTATTTGTATATATATATGTATATAAACACAAATACTCGAACACGGGAAAGAACAATTTTTTTGAAATGTAACATCTCTTTGTATCAATTTAAATGTTGTTAAATTTAAATGACAGAATCAAAAATTTGAACAAAACGGGAGGAATAGTTTTTTTAGAAATACAAATTTAAAAATCTGACTTTTTGAAACAACTTTATGGAAAAATAACAACAATTTACATACTAAGCATGAAATGAAAAAAAGGAACAATATTTTTCGATCTTATGACCGGGGTTTTACAATCTTATTGGTACAGGTCTTATTGATAATTTTAAGTCATGCCTTACAAATGTTAATTAATTTGCGCTCTGACCCAATGTGTTAGGTTACAAAATTGAACATAAAAATGTACTTTCTTCAAATAAGCTAAATACGTACTTTTTTTTCTTCTTTTTGATGGATCAGGATTTTTGGCCCTTAAAATAGCAGCAATCTGGGAAATGTGGTCCCAAAAGTTTTTTTACTCAGGAGAGTAGTCTCCTTACTGTTATAATTTAATTTGTTGCGTTTTTTGCTATACTTTAGGAATTATATTTAAGCGAATCAAAGCATTTTTGCACAGAATTATAAACCTAGTTTATACGAAAAAATTCCATGTAAAATAGAATTGTTTAGGATAATTAATTATTTTTAAATTATTATTATTATATTATGTAAGTATTATTTGATTTGAATGATGAAAAAAAATTTCTGAAATTAAGATATGCATTTCTTAGCGTCATTGTAAATTAAGATAATTTTATATTAAAAAAAAAGCATTATTTCAACTAATTGGGATGAAAAGTTCTTTAAAATTACGATTTTATTTAAAATTTTATTACTTTAAAAATAATTAGCCAATTTTGTTCAAATTAAATATTTTGTCATTCAAAATTACTTGGTTGATTAAGGTTATACTTTAAATTTTAATATATTTTCTATTGACATTAAATAATAAAATTTAATAAATAAGCTGAAGCAATAATATTGCTTAAAATTAAGTTGAATTGCGAGATTTAAATTTGTACTCAAAAAATTTATGATTTTTCTGAAATAGTTCCAGAGATATGGATATATATGGAAAATAAATTTTACACAGATGGGATCACATTTGAACATCATTTAATATTTTGATTAACGACTTTCACACACTTTTTTTTTTCTTTTCAGAATACGCAAATTTTAGTTTTCATTCCATAAATTTGTATTAAATTAATATATTTGCTGTTAGTTTACGTATCCTCTGTAGCCATCTTGGTCAGTATTCTCACCTATCACGCAGAAGGTCGGGGTTTGGAGGTTTCCCATTCGGAAGGAGAGTTATTTTGTCTTTTGTTCCGGAATAATCATATCGTTTCAGATTCTTTCTCCCCATATTTTTCCCATATTTGAAGAGTCACAAATCCTAATTCGTCTTAAAAAAAAAGAATTTTTTTTTTTATGTGCAAGTGAATTTGGGGAATGTAAGCTTTTGTGTCTAAATTTGTAACAAAATGTCGTCTGTACAAATTAATTATCGTTTGTAAAGTTAGCCTTTTGAATCATTAAGATTTAATTTCAATAGCACATAAAAATCCGATCATTAGATCAAAAATTATTTATGTCATATGTTTGTTACTTTGATTCTGATAGTGCTGTGTAACCGAAATTCTTCTATTAAGAGATTGAAATTTAATTGCATAATAAAATTCAATTAAAAAATTTTTTTTTGTTGTTGTCATGTTATTATGTCATTGTAATGTAATAAAACTCTTTGTATAAATTTTAACTATGTCAGGGAAGTATAATAAAACACTGTATGCACATTTTAAATAGATTAACACAATATAAGAAAACTCTTTCCCCATATTCTAAATCAATCACTAAAATTAACTTTCAAATTTTTCTAAACTCTTAAATTATAATCAAAAAATAATTTGTTGTCTGAAAGGTGTTTTGATTTGCTTTGTTGTGTGTTGACATGTTGTTATTGTGTTGTTGACATGTTGTTAAAAAACATGTTGTTATTTGAATGGCTAGCTCATAAAATTTTGCTCTCTTTCCCTAACTTTATAAATCAGATTTCAAAACTTTATAAACTTCCTAACTTTATAAATCGGTCAACAATAAATTATTAAGAAATTTTCAATTAACAATTTTGAAACTTTGTTAAAATTAAAAATAAACTAAAATTGTACGCTTTCGATAATTATTCGATAGACTTTTTTGTTTCTTTTCAACTTTTAACGAGAGAATCATGATGTATTTCTTTAAATTATGGGATCCCATTGGCTGATGTAGACTTTCTGAGGGGCGCAATTTTTTAAACGCTGATAACGTTTAAGAAAAAATGTTAAGCTTTTTGATAATGTTTAAGAAAAAAAAATGTTTATTTTAAACGGCAAATAAATATATGTTGAATTTTCACAAACACTTTAAAATTTTACGTTCATGTAATTTTAGACAAAATTAATTTTTAAAAGAAATCTATTTATGTAAAAGGCAAAACTCTCATTCATTCACTAATTCTTCCACTTCCCATGAGGTAATAAAGTAAAAAGGAGGACTGTGTGTTCATTTGGAATAAATAGAAAAACTAAAAGTTATATTTCGCTATTTTATATTTATCGGAGTTATTAGCCTAATTAGCAGTAACGCTAAATAACTCATCTTTACCAAGATAGAAATATAGAATTCTGACCCTGTATTCTTTATAGAATAAACGTAAAAACTAAAAAGTTTAATTTTGAAATTATCGGGGTAGTTAGGAGGAGTTTAACCTAATTGATAGTAATGCTAAATAGAACAACTTTTTTAAGATGAAAGTCTCAAATGAAGATTATGTGTTCTTTATAGGATAAGTAGGATACGCAAAAGACTCATTTTAATATTTCATAATTATTGGGGTAATTAGCCAATATGACGGTAATTCTAATTAACACGTTTTTACTAAGATAGATATCGCAAGTGTTGTCCATGTTTTTTTCACGGAACAAGCCTATAATGTTTTGACCGGCTCTATAAAAAGGGCACACGGCAGAATTTAGACTCATCTCCAAGTAAACAACAAACAACTGAACACAGTTTGGCAGAAATACATAGCTGCTTGATAATAAATATCTCCTTAAAACACAAAATGTAGAAAAAGGATTACATAGCTAAGGGCCTAAGATTTAGAATTTAAGATCCCAAAGTTTCAAAGCTTCCAATGTATTCGGCTGGAAGATCCCCTATATCAAGGGTGGCGAACCAATGGCACGCGTGCCATTTATAGCACGTGACACAATGTTTTGGGCACACCACCGATCACAAAGTTCACTATGAAGCATATTAACAATTAAATTAATATTCATAAATAAGTAACAAAAAGCAATTAATAACCATAAAAGAACAAGCTAACAATAAATAACTAACAAATTTTTTTTTAAATAAACAGCTCTGCTTAGACTAATATCTTATAACCCTAATATAAGTTATTTGTCATCTAATCTACAACAACAGAAGTTACGCTGATAATACTTTAAATTGAATTACGCTTATAACTGAGACATTGTAAAATGTTTTTATTTTCGTAGTAAATAAAGAATATTGAGTTGATAGTATTTAGTATTATAATTTATCCAATAATCACGAAGTGAAAACTATTTGTCGGCACATCTATGACTTCATTAAACAATTTTTTAGAAAAAATGGCACGTTGGTGCATAAAGGTTCGCCACCCCTGCCCTATATGATCCAAGAGGGGCATGACACAGAGTAGTCAAAGCCAAAATCACAATTAAGTGACCAAAAAAAAGCACTAAAAGCAAAGGGGTAAAATTCAGATTTTAAAATTTTAAAGTTTCAGACATACCTCTTTGTTTTACCTATCCCATTTCTTTATGGGATAAGTAAAAAAAAAAATAATAATAATAATAACTAAAAATGATTCATTTCAATGTTTCATAATTATCTGGGTAATTAGACTTATTCACAGTAATGCTAAATAACTAGTTCTTACTCTAAATAACACGTTTTTATAATAAAGGAATTGCAAATTTGGACCATGTTTTCTTAAGGGATAAGTAGAAAAACAAAAAATTTTCAATTTAATGTTTTGTTATTATCGGGGTAGTTAGCATAAATTAAAGTAATGCTAAATAACATATTTTTTTTTTCCTTTCAAGATGGAAGTTTTAAATTCAGACCAGAGCTCGAAAAAAACTTAGAAATTTTACCCGTCCCCGAGGACGGCTTGTCCAATAATGTACCCGTCCTCCTTTGAAACTAACCAGTCGCTTCTAAATAAATAAAAATATTATTTTTTCTTATTTATTACAAACATTTATATATATTAGACAATGAATTAGTAGCTACTAGGATTACATTATACAGTAATAAAAGAAATACTAGATTACTAATAGTAAAACCTAGTATTTCTTTTGTGAAATAATTTATTTATTTCATGAATTAATTTAAATGACAAAGGTAAAGTTATCTGGAATGTCAATTTATCCGAGGGTACTGCGTTTTTTAAATGAATCAAATATGACGTTTGCCAGTTCCACAATCAAGCCTATGATTTACAGAGGTTTCTGCACAGAAATCTGAAAGGGGTTTTCCATTTAGGTGGATGTTAATAATTGCGTTTAACGCTTACGTAATGTGTTTTTTTGTAAGTTCATTGCT